CCAATCTCCGCTTCCTGGATTTTATTTTACGAGCCCTGCACTTCAACATGAACGGAACGTAGTTGGATCTTATCTACACTGGTTGGTCAGGTCGATTGCAGGGTGAAAGCTAAGGGAAGTCGTGTTTTCTATACGCTTTTCTAGAGCGGAGCTATTACCGTCACCTCTATTCGCGAATTCATATCTTATTTCTCGTTCAGTATGTTAATCATTGCCTTGTGATGAAGTCTAAAGGAATGAGAATCCCTTCCCATAAAACGATTCAATTCAATAAAAACTTTCCTCTTAGTCCAGATTTCGCGGTGCCCATCACATAGACGTTTCAACAGAGTTGACTCGTGCATTACGATTCGTCATATATATCCAAATTCAAATAGTGGTCTTGTGGCGTATACTACCGGAGCTGAAGCAACTACAAATATGGGATGAACTTTTGTGAGTTGTATTTTAACTTATGTTTTTGTTTGTTGTGTTTGAACTTATTTAAAATTTTCTAGTGACTTAAACATTATTCTTAGCTTTTTGATAAAAAAATACTGGACTATTTTCATGTAGTCTATGTAGTCTATTAATTTTGTTTTCATATTTACGAAACATAGCACAATGTTTTCATATTTTTGCACATTTCGTAAAAAAACACTTTTATAATTATCAGAATGAGTTAAACGCATTGCTTTTATTTCGAAATACTTTTTGTGGTGTTTTGAAATTTCGCTATTATCTTGAAATCATTCTGTATATTTCTTTAAATAGAATGTTGAATTTTAAGAAGCGTATTAAAACTTCCCCTGAAGAGGAAATATGAAGCTTCTACATGTAGAGAAGCTACCTATAATAACACTTCATTTTTTCCCAAGACTTTATTTTTTATCTTTGTACCTCCATCTTCCTCCCTTCATTTAATTTATCATTGCAGAAACCCTTCATGGACGCTCTCCACGATTTTTCAGAAGGAAATAACTGAATTACAACATCCAATTCTGCAAGAAACGACAACTTTAGGCAGACACCCACAGTTTGCGGCGGACATCAGGGATTTTTATACCAGTCGATGTGCCTACACATAGGTGTGTGTGATCAACGTATCTCAAAATCTGTAAAATGTGGACATGAGGTGTGTTGGCACATTGAGGACATGAGGACATGAGGAGTGTTGGCACCTCCAAATTAATTCAAATTTGGTGTCACGCTTCGAAAGATCATACAGTTCAAACTTCCCGTCGCGATGATAGTCTAATTTTGCTAAAAAACGGGCGAATTTGTTCCCAGTTGACCAAATACTCACTTCTTTTGTACGAAGTTCTTTGGAATCTATTTTCAACTGCTTTCTATTAGTTCGAAGAGTCATCGATAGATCGCGTCTCCTCCTGGGCCGCCGCGATAAAAGATGTGCCTATTGCCAGATTTCTCGTAATCCAGTTTTTTTCCACACCAGACGCTACGAGCTCGCAATGTCATGAAAATCAGAGGAGCCGCGAACAGTTTCGCAGCCATCGTGCACAGAAGCTAAGTGTAATATGTTGGGCGCATTCAAAGTTTGATTCGACGCAGTGCCTGGCAATTCCTAGCACATTTCTGCAATCTATGACCTCAACCACGCCCGAGGCGGGATACAAAACCGCGATCCTTCGGTCCGAGATCGCTACGGCACTACTGCCTTAGCAATCCAGCCACCGGACAGGCGAACGCTATAAATTGAATTATCTCAAAATGATGTCTCTGGATTAGTATTGTTCTTTCACCCACCATTCAATAGATGTAATATAAATTATTGTGAGTAACAATGTTATTAATATTTGGCAATGACGAAACAAAGCATTGAATTTTCTTTACTAATCTTTGAAATCCAAGACTTTTTTGTAAATATCGACTATCAGTGTCAAATATTTTGACATAAGCTTCTCCAAACGGCGGCACGTGGCTTGATGGACGTTATCTTTACTCTTGCGGGATTTTTCGTCAGTGAAATTGAGGCCTGTGATTTCCTGGTTGTGTGTTCACAGAGGAAAGCGAATGTTTCATTCACTTCCTTCTCTTTTCTTGAAATATTTTCTTATTCTCTTCCTTGGTTTTTCTTGTTCGTTTCCCTATTGTTTTCCTGATCCTTCATTGTGTGTCCTAAATAAATCATATTCTGACGAAACACACGTTGCAGGTCGCAGACGTTTACATTACCGAAAAAAACATTCGAATAATAAGCAAATTCCAACCACGTGCTTATTGCAAGCCTTTCATTATTATGGTGGGAATTCTAGCATTGACTTGCCTCTTGATTTACAAATCAGGGGTTTTGTCACAAATACGCCAGGGTGTGAGCATATTTTCAGCCAATAAAGATGTCTTTAACCATAACACTGGACGTGGTAATCACATTTATCAGGTGTCAGTATCAACAGTTCATTACAATCAATTCACACACATTATTTAACAACACATTGTCCAATGACATTAAACGATTAAACTCAATACCATAGGAGTTAAATAGGAACTCAAAGCTCAATAAAACGTTCATAAATGGTATTTGTCCCCATGGTACAAACAGTTTTTAACTCTTTTTGGACGTTAAATAAATAAAAAATGTTAATAATGAATCTACAACTGTACCCACATCGGATCAATTGTTTTAAATGAGCTACGATATAATAGATACGTTAGTAGATTGAATCCCGCTGTCATCTTTTCCTAAGCATCCTCAAAAAAGTACAGCCCGATTGCACCTGTTGCGAGTAGCAAGTGACCGTTCGCCGAATTCCGCGTAAACGTGGACGGGTTGCTTACTATTTGCCGATCGACGAACATTCTGTGCACGTCCTACCGAGCCTGAGATGGCGTTTTGGACGCATCAAAAGCAGCTAACATTCGCCGAGCACATCAGCTACTCGGAATTGGGCGAGCAATTGCTCGTTACTCGGCGAATGGCGAATGTGTGGAGCTGCCTAGAAAGAGCTCGTCCAAGTAAGAGTGCTTTGATGGTCGCCCTTTCACAATCGTATTTCAAGAAGACAAAAATGAAAAGAGCCAATAGTTCTGATTATTTTGTCGCATTCGTGGTTTGTCGTGGGCAGATCGAAAGAGTAAGGAAAGTTTGTTATTTTGAAATTACCTGTATCGAATACTCGTAATTTAATTGAAAATGATTTCTACATATACCCGGGCTGCTCTAATAATGGCGACAAGGGTTCCATGATTGTCTTTTAAAATATGCAAAATTACAATAACTATATTTAAATAAAATAGTTGACAATCGATTATAATAAATCCACTTCCATGTGTTCAAGACGCATGTGCAAGACCTTTTCAAAACCATCACTTAAAACTTTGTTAAAACAAAAATTAAAAACTATCATAAGCATCCTTTTTTACCCACTGACTTAACATTTACAATTCCGGAAATTCTGACAATTCCCATACTCATCTGTTTTCGAGGTTTTCTCTGGAGTGGTGCAAAAACCTATATTTTCGTTCCTCTTGAAAGAAATGTAACCTTATAACCCGCCCCCCCCTCAAAAAACCGACCGGGATGCAATCGGCTTATTCCTTCCGATGTAGCCAAAACTGAACGGGAATTAACTGGAACGCGAGCGCGAGGGAATCCTGGTCAGAGGATCCATTTGTGCGACTCCGTTTTCTAGAGAATGTTGTTGGAGCTTGCCCTTCTCGATTTATCTCTTCGCTAAGATAACAAAATCGTGTAATGACGCTCGTGGTTTTGATTGCGTTTGCGGAGTTTAATAATTTCATATATATTTTACATTTTTATATGCATAACTATCCGAGACCTACTCATCACTTTCAAGAGAATGCACCAACAGCTCCAAAACAATGTGTCAAACCGCGCTCCATTATCCTTCCATCTCTGTCCTGCCTTAGGTTCAAACGATTAGCTAATATCCCATCCTCCATTAATAGCTATATCCATTGATCAAGGAAAATCGAAGTGTCTCAGATTCGGGGGAATAATTTGTTGCCAGGCTCCTAAGACACTGTGCCTTGTGTTGGGTAAATTGAAACATTAATTAATTGAAAATAAATCGTTGGAGATTTAATGTATCCATATAAAATCAATACTGTGATACTCAAAACATTTTTAGACTAGTACCTGCTGAAGTACGAAGAGACGACCCTCCGCAATATCAAAAGAAAAGAATTAAGGACTTTGAGCTATTATTCAGATATCTATGCGGGGTAATTACTGTTGTTATCCTTGTACACTGCGGGTATCAGAGCACACCTGGGGTCAGAAATTGTCGAGTCAGCTGTAAGTCAACCGTGTGGCTGAGGGGGCTCGCGAACGCCAAAGCAGAAGTGGCCTCTATCTCAGTGTTACAGTTCTCGCAGTCTTGGTGGAAACGCCGTCTTTCGCATCTTTCACACGAAACTATTTATTCAAATTAAAATAACGTAGCGAGAAAGTGTGGATGTAAAATAAGTAGTGAGAAACGTTCGGTAGATTATGAGTGTTCTGATCCCCTTGCCTAATTGGAAAACTGCTCCTATTCAATGTTTAGAAGTTCCCAAACCTTTTTCGTTTCGTAGACACCTTGCCCGATTGTTTCTGTTTTTCGCAGAACCCTTCCTAGAGGTCGTTCCAAAACGACAACGACCTCAGGGACCACATGGATAACACTCCATGAATTTCATTCACGCCACTTTGGGAAAAGATCTACCTCTTCCCTCCCGTAAAACAATATTTTGGCCACGCCATTGACGGGGACTCCAAAAATCCTTGAGCCGGTCCGATTACAAACGTTTTCCCGTTTCTTCTGCCTCCCAACGCAAGCGACACTTCGGTTCCGCCGCCCGTTGTGGCCTCGAGCGAACGGGCCGTCGGCGGGCGAGCGGCGACCGCACTCGCGCGCCCATTGGTCGGCGGCGAAAGTGACTGCGGGCGGCGGCGGCGGCGGGTGCGACGGGGTCTCGGGCGGGCGAGCGCGGGCGCGGGAGTCTGGCACGTGCGATGGTGGCGCGCAGCAGCAAGGGCGGCGGCAGCGGCGGCGTTGCGGGAGTAGCGGGTCCCGCCGCGGGAAAGGGCGCCGTGGGAGAGGCGCGGGCGCTGCTGGACTCCAGCGAGGACGAGGACGAAGAAGACGCCTTGGGAGGACGGGGAGGCACCGCGTACTTCTTTGGGGTATGTTGTGCCAACTGGCCGCGTTGGTTCTGACAGCTTGCAGCACGTGGGTGCCGACACGTGAACACATGTTGGGCTGTCAACTTGAAATCTTTTTGCGTTTGCTTGGTTTCCAATACTTATGTCTTTACTTCTTCTACCTCATACTACTCAGATTCTCGTGAACAATCGCAAGGTAGAGTGTTTTAACAGCAAGTTCATTGATTCAGTGTGCTGAATTTTGACGTGACATCGATGTGATTTTTGCCGTGACGATGTATTGTGAAAGAGTTTTATCTCGTCGTTTCCGGACATTTGTTGTGAGTGAAAAACATCTGCACGGATGAGTATTGTGACTGGTGAATGTGACGAGAATTCTCCGAACGATTGAAATGATTGATCATAGGATAATAGAGCACGTTTAATGTACAAGTTTTTTCTACATTCTTTCTAAAGTAAGAAAATATAAATTATTCAAAAAATTGACATAAACGAAATTTGTCATTATTGCATGCTTTTAGTTCGAGAAAAAAATAGCTTTCCATTGCGAGTGTGTGTGGCTAGAAAAGTTTATTTCTTTGAGAATTTTATTTGAATGTTCTTGCGATTCGCGAATGGGATAAGGCGTATTGCAGAAAGGATTGCAATCGTAATTCAGTGTGAATACTATTGCAATATTCTCTCTTCTAACGGAACTATGTGTTATTATTAACAGTTAGTTTAATTTCCAACTTGAAGATTCCCTAGTACTGTGTTCAAGGTTACCCTCACTCTTCACACCTTTTCCTCATTCATTTCCATCCAAAGCTGATTCAGATACAGCCAGACAGGAGAATTCAAATTAACTCTGGTCTGCCGAACAGTTATTACCCTTTTAAGAACGATAATGATCTTGAATATGCTGTTAACGTTTATGCGTAACTGTTTATATATGTATCAAGATGTGTGTAGAATTGTCAAAATGAGACTATTTTCAGCTTGCCAGAAATAGTTTTATATCTTAGGAAATTCTTTTAGTGTATAATTTGTTGTGCAAACTACAGTAAAATCGGTACCAAGGTACACTACACCTAATTACAAGAAAAAAACAACAACACCGTTGTCATCCATCTCTCCGGATTCTGTGATTGTATACTTCACACAAAATATAAGATATAAGACAAAATTTAAGACATTAGAGAAAATAACTCGTAAAATCTCCAAGTTGTACTCGGCCATACTAGTGTAAATGTGTGAAGTCTGTCATTGATATACGAAATAGTAATTGCGTGATGAACGTAGAGTAAATACTGTTAACTCTACTACGGATGAAATTAAAACGTGATTAACAATTGGGTGTAGGGAGGGGGCGGCGCTGCCGCAAACTGTTCCCTTTACTACGTGCTCTCAACACTAACTAGACAAATAGAAGTAAGGAATATTTAGAAACTCGTAACAAGTTTGTTCCTAACATTTGTTCGTAACATTTGTAATATTTGTTCAAAATCGCAAAATATTTTCCCAGTGTTAGGTGACAATAACGTGCAATTGCCGAAGCTTCTGATCTGCAGCCCCAGTAGCGTAACGTTCGGGCCCGCAATAAGGGCGGGGCCGAGTAAAAGAGGACCTGCTATAATGTGCTGGAAACATTGATTACTTAATATAATAATTATAGAGTGATGAATATGAATTTGTTACACGTAAAAAAAGAACAGTTGCAGTATACCAGATCCATGGTACTCTAACACGTTCCCTTGCTATAGTATCATGGGTCTGGTATACTGCAACTGTTCTTTTTTTTCGGGTAAAGGTTTTTTTTTATTGTTTAAGGTACTAACACTACTTTTGTTTGCTACACATTTTTATAAAGGGCGCCCAAATAAAGGTTTTGCGGGCGGGCCCGCACATTTTGTTACGTTACTGCGCTGTTCCCTGTATAGGATACGGTGCTGGCGTCATCACGTGGTCACGAAATGTCAGTCACATACTAATTTTATTGGGACCTTAAACCGCTGGGCTTCACTTGAAATATTAGTCATGATTTAGGAGTATAAAAGTCATTTTGATATAAATTATTTTCATTATATGTGTAAAGGTAAATTCTCTTTATATTCTAAAGAGTGTTAGTTAATATCAAATGAAATTTGCGAACTTTTTTGCAAAAATAAGGAATCTAGTGGTAATGAAACATATTGTAGAAAAATGCCATCCTAAGGTGATATTCAATGATTTATTGTTAATGCTCTATACGATTGTATGTATCTGAAATGTAATTGCATGTATTGTTCCTAATGTTAGTGATGGATTACAATTGCTTTTAGATACATAATTACATCATCACACGGAGGTTTTCCGTCTTACGATAACTCCATATCTCATTTGGCATTCCTTGCGTTTCTCTTTGCAACCATATTCTCAAGGCCACTCACTTCTGAAAAGCGATGTCAGGAGGCTTGCTTGGCGCGTGCTTTTTGCAACCTTTTTTCTTATCATAGTCGACAATTTGTGATAATTTCGAGGATCCGCTTAATAAATTCTTATTAAATTACGTGACTCAAAAATCCAAATGCTGAAGAAAATAGTTTTAATATGAATTTTTAACCTTTCTATCTTATTTTGCTTCTTGAGCATTTCTGAACTCCTATCTTATTTATGGCGATCATTTAATATTTTTTCACAAATGTTGATTAATTAAGAGGTGATACGTTTTGACTATATTAAAAACTACGATCATTAACATTCCATCAAAATGCTGTCAGCTTATAAAATGTTAACTATGCTGCATGTTAATTATAATTCGAGAATGGTCAGTGAATTTTTTTTTCTTCCGGTACCTGCTATGAAATTTCTGGATATTAATATTCAATAGAAATACATAATGAATAACTTATACACTCACAACCTATATTTCTGTGCAATGTACAATTTGGGAAATGCACAGTAAAAAGTGTGACCACTGTTATATTTACAAGCACTCTGGGTAAGATTCTGAAGCAATTCGTAGAGCGATCTGTTGGCTTGGGGTATTTTTATTAATTTTATAAGAAATTGTGATATTTTCTATTTACATTTCAGACAGTCCTTGGGTCACTAGTGTCTCACACAAGCAATTAACCTTATCTCTATAGTATCGGAGTTCAAAGTTCTGTAAATAGTTTTTCGGTGACCCCCATATCGATCAGCTTTTCGTCCAATTTCCCTGATGTTAGAGCAAATGCTGAGATGGCCCCTTGTTTTACTTCTGGACATAAATGTTACTTCAAATTAACTTCTCCCCATAGCACGTTACATACAGTTTTTAATTTTTTTGACGCAAATAAATAAATAGAATTTCTCGTAATCATTCAGCCTCTGGTTGGGAATGCGGCAATGGACCGCCAACCTGGCAAAGGGACCCTCACCCGCCCTCTGCCCCACAATATTATTTATTTTATTTAATAGGTAATTATTACAAACAAATTTGCTTACTTGATCCTATGTGGCTAGGCCGAAGGCCTTTAAGCCATTAAATAACCTACATCCTTTCGCGTTCTAATCTTTCGAATTGCTGGTATTCAGTAAAGGTACGGCTCAAGAAAAACACCCTCTGAAGGGGGAAACCCTGCGGTCAGAAGCCGCGTACATTCTAATATATCCGACGTTTATTTCAACTATCTTATTTTTCCGAAGCGCCGGGCATCCCACCGTCTCCTTCGCAGTGCTTGGCCTCGCTCAGTCGCCATGAATCATAACAGCGCCACAGAAGGTCGTCCGCACTAACGCCTCTGCCCTTATATTTCGATCCCCCTTACTTGATATTCACCCTAATGTGCACTTATTTCAGCTTTATGGGCCAGTCTTTGTATTTTACTTAATCTATTTACGCACTGTTACATTACATCAATTGACTATCGACTAATATCGCACTTATTCTTAACTGTTGTCTCACTCCCAACTTAACATAAAATTACTGATTGGAACATCGTGCTTATGTGTTAGACAGTCTGTTTGGACATTATTTACTCTAGCGCTGCTCACAGTCTAGGCCTCCGCTCAGCTAAAACCGGTGCTGTTTTCCCACTCCCTAATTTCAATTTCCCTAATGGTCCGAACCTTTCCTAAAACCCGACAATATGCTCTCAGCCCGGCAACGGGTCCAGCAAGTCCAGCAACCTTAGCCTCCCCTCGCAATCACTTGACATTCATAAAGCGGTCCTGTTTGTAGCTGATAAAGCGGTATCCTCATAAGCTACAAGTGAAATAAAATTTTTGCAAACCAAGTGACATTTTTTTATAAATAGGTCCCTTTCTGTTTATTTTCGCGTATTTTTTTTTATTCTTCGTAAGAAGCGAAAATTTGAAGCAATGTCACCAAGTTTGGAGAACATTAAGAGAACATGACTCTTCCGTGAAAGAGTTTCTTCATTGATAGATAGCATCAGCCTACTTATATTTTCTCTAATGAACTTTTTTCTGGTCAAAGATAAAAGGAATTGAATGACTTATCTCGAAAACAGTTATCTTATGAGATGCAATTTAAAAATAACTCATTATTTTTATTAAGTTGCCGTTTCTAAGACACGATAAAAATAGGTTTTCTCAGAATTACTTTATGATTTCAATATTTCCAACATTAATTTTTTTTATTTTGAGAAGGAAGTGAAGTGAGAACTAGAGAAACGGGTTTCATACAGTCAAATTTTCCATGCGTATTGAGTAATAAAAGTTTGTTTTATACGAGAATTTTACTGCATCGCTACAAAAAAGTGAAACCTGCAGAAACACATAAACCTGCATTTTCTTTTCCGGTCATAAGAAAGAAGATATCGATCGAAAGAGATAGATGAGACTGAACCGAGAGTTATAGCTTTTCTGTTATGATCAATCTACGGTATCTGTGAATTTTATCGAATATAATCCTCAAAAATGTAATTACTGAGAACATCTGAAGGTATTTCCATTTGGTAATTATTTGCAAGGAAGTCATTGTGACTCCACAACTACATCTTTCATTGTTCCTTGGTTCCAACTCCTCTTGGTTTTTATATTGCAGCCATTGATCT